CAGTTTCAGCAGCGGCTGAATCTGGACGCCAGTTCCGACTTACATACAGATTCAACTTAAGAACAAAGCTACAGTCCCTATCTTGTACGTAACCCGGGGACTGCCTGTAGTCAATTTTCTCCATTCATTACAGGGGGAAATGGTCCTTCATTGCCTCTAGGTGGCAGTGATATTTTTACCACTACTAATCACTACCAGGAACAACATATGTTTATCCATATTGTGTCTTCCTCTTTCAGATGCTCCAGTGGTTGGCAGCCTTACCAGACATCTATATTTGGAAATAATCCATGGCTCAAAGATCCCCACATAACATTTAGCCAGTTTTTGGCTAAGCTCCATGCTTGTATGAAGAGATGCAGCAGTAGCATGAAATATACTGCTATGAACAGAGAACGAAACATTCAGTTCTTGTATTCCTGGTGAGTGTTTGGAAATGATTAATTCAACTGCTGGCATCTCCTCAAAATTTGGTGAGAAAAGTTTTTCCACAGGCTCTCTAACTTTCCAAAACATGAATAATTCACCAGTTCTTGTGTTTTGGCTCAATTTCCCTCACGAGGATGAAATGAGTAGCTGTCTCAGTAAGTAATCACTTTGACTGCCAGTACTACTGGTAGGTGGTATACACTGAGGCTTTGTCTACACTGTGAGTTTTTGCAGCAGAAAATATGCAAATGATGGGGCTCATTACCATAAGTCGGTATATCATTAGCATATTTTCTGCTGTTTCTTTTTGTGCAAAAACAAGCAGTGTAGATGCTTCCGTTTTGTGCAAAAACCCCATTTTGCGCAAGATCCTTATGCCTCTCCGGGACAGGCATAAGGATCTTGTGGGGGGGAAAAAGGTTTTTGCACAAAACGGCCAAAGCCACACTGCCTGTTTTTGCGCAAAAACCTCTAGCTCAAAAACGGAATGAAAGGGAGTATGCAAATGAATCGCGGCACGAACTAGGTAGTTCGAACTAGGAAGCCTTGTTCGAACTACCTAGTTCGTGCCGCGTGTAGCCGCGCGGCACGGGGTTCGAACCAGCGGGGATTTAAAAATGGCGGCGCCCCGCTTATGCAAATGAAGCCCGGGAAATTCAAATCCCGGGCTTCATTTGAAATTGCGGTATGCCTACATTACCCCGCTAGTTCGAATTAGCGGGGTAGTGTAGACATACCCTTTGCCACCCCTTGTGCTCCCCAGCCAGAGAGAGAGGAATGCAGCTTTCCTCTCATCCTCTCACTCGCTGACAGTGACGGGTAGGGGAACAACAACAAGTAGTGTCCCAAATATAGGAGGCAGAGAAAGCTTCAGCCACTTCTCCTCCTCCCCCCCCCCCCCCACCCAAGACTCGGGACTGGGGCAGTCCTTTGAACCAGTGCAAGTGGGATGCACTACCAGCCAGCTCCTTTAACCTGCTTGCTGCTTAGCATGGCAGCATGCAGGAGAACCCTGGGTGCCAGGTTGGAATCATGCCCCACCTCTGCCTGCAGTTGAGTGCCCCAGCTGGCCGGCTTCTTCTTGCCGGAACAGCATACCAGGGCACACCAACTTACTCTCACCTCCAATGATAATTCCGTGGATTTTGCCAGCATGCTGATTCTGTAGGAGAGAGAAAGAGATGAATTAGTGACTAATTAGCTTGAGGTGGCCAGTGTCACTAAATGTGCAAGTAAATGTTTTGAGTGTTGGCTGATGGCTGTAAAGCTTGAGCCAAACTAAAGGTAGTCTCTTGGACAGGAGATATATGGGGTTTTTTAGAGATAAGGACAAACTGAAGAAAGGCTACTGAGATAGCAGCAAGGTAGCCAAGTTCAACCGATTTACTGCCTCAAATCCTATGCAGCGAAGAAACAATTTGACATAGTTAGAGCAGCAACATTTGAATACACATTTCCTGCACCCACACACACACGTAGTTTCGGGGCCCAAATCTGGAATTTTCATTTTCCTTATCACAGAAACCAGCCACAACATTTAACTCCAAATCCAGGTCTGAATTTCAAAGCCAACATCACCAACATTTGCGGGTATTTAGATCGGTGAGGACTGAGGCTGGTTCAGGTCCATCTCCAGGATAACTTTTGTCTGCTATTGAATCCCTGGGAGACCCAGTGCAGGTGAGAGCTAGTCACCTGGGATGCCTGTTTGCCTGTAGAATGATGATTCTCGACTTGTTCTATTGAAAGAGACTCCTGTGCTTTGATCCTAGTCTCTATAATCTTCTGCCAGTAAACAGGAATTTTTCTGTAAGCTGTAATTTTCATGCAGTTTCACCTCCCACACAGTCCAGTCACCCCACCTGCTTCATCTTGTGCAGTAACTAATAAAAAAGCAGCTGCCATGGCTACTGTAGCTATATAAACTCAGGGGATAACTCTTCAGATTTTAAGGCGTGCCTAGTGCAGGTGATTTAACAACATTTTCTTCATTACAGAGAAACCATAAATTAGAGCAGAAATATACTATACTTCTCTGTGGATTTTAGCTTTGCAAATATGTACTTTGAAAATACTTGTAATGTGAGTAAAACAGCAGAGGCATGAGAGAACTCTGAGTAGAATCCTTGCTATTAAATCTTGTTATAATTAATCTCGTAATGGCAGTGCAAATCAGCATGTGGTTTTATATGTAATAGTACAGTGTTTCTCAACCTTTTTTTATAAAGTACCCCTTTAAAAAAAAAAGTACCCCCAGGACCTACAGTTTTGAGAGACACAATTTTTTTCTACCATTGCAACACATTTGTTTAAACACCTTAGTTGTAGCCAGGCAGGCGATGACATTTTTGGGTGTAAAAAGTACAAAAATAATAAAACGCTGTAAAACTTAAAACAAAAATTCAGTTTTCTCCAAATTTCAGGTGTGTTGACGAACCCCCCAGACTTCTCTCGAGTATCCCTAAAGGTACTCGTACCACTAGTTGAGAAACACTGTAATAGTACATTGGTCAGAGATGGTGCATTTAGAGAACCTTTTTGGTGCCTTCCCAGGCCTTCTCATTCACAATATTTTCACCAGTGTTCAAAGTAAATATCCTTTAGAAAGACAGGTGTGCAATAATGGTATTGATGTTTGCTGTAGCAGAGAAACATCCAGGTCATCCAAAAGATTTTGCAGACTTACTAAAGTGTTAACTCTTTTCAAGACAAGGTTGACTTTATAATCGTTATGGTGTATCTCTCTTGTAGTTCTTTATGCAGGTGAAAAATATATTTTTACTAGAAAATTTACCCGGTGTTGCTCTGGTCCTTAACTCAATTAATTTTTGTTTTTCTGGAAAATAACATGAAAATGTACATGCTTTTTTTAAATCATTGCTCAGGGATTGAGCTGGGGATGAGGGGTTCAGTATGCAAGCTGCCCTAGAGAGAGAGAACAACCCCAGCCTCACCGCAGCGCCTCTCTATGACCACTGCAGTGGGCACAGCCAGGGGGAGGGGTGCACGTGCTCTGGCTGGGACTGGTCCAAGTTCATTTGCTCCCTGCATTTCCCAGCCAGAGTGAGGAATGCAGCAAACTGGGTACTTCCCCTTACTCCCTGGTGAAGGTAACAGGCAGCAATGTTGCTATATGAATCAGGGGAAGGGGACTTCAGCCCCCTCCCATCCTCCTTAAAGAATACCTGCTAGGTGGGAGGTTCGGGGCTGAGGTAGTCCTGGATGGAGAAGGGTGCACCCCTAGCTAGCCCCTTTCACTTGCCTGGTGATTCTGTTTCTTTTCTGAATTGTTTTATTAGAAGCAATTCCATACCAGGCATATTCCATTTTCCTGGCACAACCAAACCCTGACCTTGCTTTAAGTTTTGATAAGAGGAAGCTGTATACCAAATTTGATGGTCCTAGGTCTTACCATTTAGGAGGAGATTTTGAACAGACAAACACTCTCAAATATATAGTATGGAGATCAAGCTTGATCCAGAAACATGGTTTCACACTATGTTTTCTGAGTTTTATTGTACTTTAAAACATCACTCTTGTAGTCAAAGGTTTCCTAATTAATATTGTGACATTCAGTGGCCTGTTAGCAAAGACTTTCTTCTGTTTCTCTTTTTTTATCATGCTGCTTCATTACATTGCTTTGTTAAATTTTCATACTAGTTCCTTTCTTTCTCTTATCAGGACTGAAGGGAAATTAGCTTGAGAGCTAGGTCTGTATAAGGCTAAGCCATGCACCAAGCAACACCTGATTTGCAAGGGTGCTAAGCCCCCTGAGGTACTATTGATTTCAGCTGGAGTGTTGTGTGCTTAGCCCTTCTGAAAATCGGGCTGTTAATACCTGGCTCTTGGTAGCTGGCTCTTAATGAGATGCACACTTTCCAACTACACATTAGCTTCCAATTAGCTCTTATGTATCCCATCATTAGCAGAATATACTCTAGCTAACACAGGATAGTCTTTCTGATAAAATTTCTTTTCTGGATTTATCTATCTTACAGTATCAAACCTGGCCAAATTTGGTGGGCCTAGCTCTTTCCATTTAGGAGGAGTTCTTGAACACAGATGCACAAACTCACTGTATTGTTTTTTAAATGCTGAGTAAATTGTAAACCTTTGTTTTGCATTATTCTCCTCTTGCTTTTTTACTCCTCTCCCCCTTCCATAAAATTCCTGACCCAATGCTCTCTAAATTCAGTGGAAGTTCGCCAGTTGACTTTAATGATAGCCAGGTTGGGTCCAAGGTAGGCATCCAGGATTACACCTCTCTATAATTATAATTCCAACCTAGGGAAGTGTCACCAAGATTTCATTCATGCTTCTGCCACTTGCTAAAAAAATCAATGACATTCTTTTGAGGTGTGTCTCCTGTGTCACCTAGTAATTCTTGCAGCAAGCCCAGAACTTCTACAGCACCTTTTCCTGGGACCAAGGAAATCTTGTGGACTAAATAATCCAGCACCCTGTGTTTCAGTAATGAAATGGCTTGGATACAGGCTCTGGGAGAGCTGTTGGCATTGGATTTTTCTTTTCTACTGTAAAAGCAGGCACAAGAGAGTATGTCTACACACAGCACCCATACATCTCATCTGCAGCTCATGTAGATATATCCACTCACAAATGAGTATGTGCCCCAAGGGTCAGCCTGTGCTGCCACATCTTCACTAGCTATGCAGCTAGCTAGTACAGGCACATCTACCTGAACTGCCATTCATACAGTCAGCTGTAATATAAATGTACCTTCCAGGCTTGCAGTCTCAGGCCTCAGTTGACTCTGAAGTTTCAGCTCTTTCTGATTGCTCTGAGAGAACTATCCTTTAGTTGTCATGAAATTGGTCCTGGGACTGCAGTTGCACTTTCCCTGTGCTTATGCTATTATATTGTGTTTTGTGTCTAGGGCTTCAGACTAAGCATTGTGTTAAATCAAAATAAATATCTAGCTGAGTTACTTGTATTTCTTTCTTTGGCATTCTGTTTCTGGATCTCTGTTCAGCCT